AGAGAGAGAGAGAGAGAGAGAGAGAGAGAGAGAGAGAGAGAGAGAGAGAGAGAGAGGAAGAGAGAGAGAGAGAGAGGCAAACAGACTGACAGAAGAACAGGCAGACACAGATCCAGACAGATAGAAGAAAGTGAGACAGGGTGACAAATAAACAGACAAAAGAGGCGTTTCTTATGCTTTGTAAAATAAATATTTCTCCCTATCCGTTTAACTATATTGCTGTTTCCCCTTTGCACTGAATAATTCCTGATACTGAGAATTTAGGGAACCATAAAAAATAAAAATTAATCTGGGGGTAAAAAGAGTAATAAGAGAAACAATCTAAAAAAACAACAACTGTAAAAATAAAACAGGAAAAATAGAACTGAAGAGTACCTCAAGAAAAAAGAAATGAGTGAAAGATAAAAAAAAACATAAATAAACGAGAACCAAAACACACGAAAAATAAGACAATCTAAAAAAAAAACAATAGACAATAAATAACCCAGAGAATAAAATAAAACAAAAAAACAAAAACGAATAAAGACACACACAAGAATACACAGAAAAAACCTAACGACATCCATCGCTCTGCCCGGGCGCCGGTCGCCAACAGAGAGAAAGAGACCGCGGATACAGCCATCAATAACGGGCGCGAGTGAACCTACAAGTGTTACACTCAGGGGCGGCGGACGTGTGACATCCAGACGAGTTACAATGCTCCACTTCCCGGCCGACGTCGCCTTAAAGAGCACATCTGGCTTCGTTTAATGACTTCGTTGAGTGATTGTATGAAATGGAGATCGGTTTGTTCTTTTGTGGTACTTGGGGAGTGCAGTGTATATTCTTGTAGAGTGTCTTTTCGTCCTCGTCTCTTGAATCGCTAAATAACTTTTCCGTTAAACTGGAGGAATGTAGGAACAAGTTTGATTTTGTTCTTCCTTTTTCAAGATTTCAAGTCATTTCCTTAATTTTTTTTTAGATAATTATAGCTTGTCTCTTTCATTATTTCCTCTCTCTCTCTCTCTCTCTCTCTCTCTCTCTCTCTCTCTCTCTCTCTCTCTCTCTCTCTCTCTCTCTCTCTCTCTCTCTCTCTCTCTCTCTCTCTCTCTGTATATCTATCTCTTCAAAAGTAAAGGAGTTTAATACTCGTTTCATTTGCTTTTTTGTCTTTTTTATAAAATAAAGGAAAACAAGGAAACAGTTTAGAAATTAAAGAAAAAAACTACAAGAAGCTTGTAAGTGAAGTAGAACTTTGTTCTAACTGAGACTAGCTTTGAGATTTTGAAAATTCTTGGGTGGTCATGCTCTCTCTCTCTCTCTCTCTGTCTCTCTCTCTCTCTCTCTCTCTCTCTCTCTCTCTCTCTCTCTCTCTCTCTCTCTCTCTCTCTCTCTCTCCATATGTATATATATATATATGTGTGTGTGTGTGTGTGTGTGTGTGTGTGTGTGTGTGTGTGTGTGTGTGTGTGTGTGTGTGTGTGTGTGTGTGTGTACATATATATATATATATATATATATATATATATATATATATATATATATATGTGTGTGTGTGTGTGTGTGTGTGTGTGTGTGTGTGTGTGTGTGTGTGTGTGTGTGTGTGTGTGTGTGTGTGTGTGTACATATATATATATATATATATATATATATATATATATATATATATATATATATATATATATATATATATGTGTGTGTGTGTGTGTGTTTGTGTGTGTGTCTATGTATATATATGTATATATATATATATATATATATATATATATATATATATATATATATATATATATATATATATAGGTACATATATATATATATATATATATATATATATATATATATATATATATATATATATATATATATGTATATATATACATATATATATATATAAATATATATATATATATATATATATATATATATATATATATATATATATATATATATATATGTATATATATACATACATATATATGTATATATATATACTATATATATATATATATATATATATATATATATATATATATATATATATATATATGTGTGTGTGTGTGTGTGTGTGTGTGTGTGTGTGTGTGTGTGTGTGTGTGTGTGTGTGTATGTGTGTGTGTGTGTGTGTGTGTATCTGTGTGTATGTATATATATATATATATATATATATATATATATATATATATATATATATATATGTATCTATATATATATATATATATATATATATATATATATATATATATATATATATATATATATATATAAATATATATATATATATATATATATATATATATATATATATATATATATATATATATATATATATATATATATATATATACATATATACATATATACATATATACATATATATATATATATATATATATATATATATATATATATATATATATATATACATATATATATATATATATATATATATATATATATATATATATATATATATATATATATATATATAAGACAAAAAAGAGAGATAAACATAAATGTCTTTTTTACTCTCCTCTGTCTTTCTACCCTTTCCTCTCTCTATTTCGCTTCTCATCAAACCGCACCGGAAGGATTTCATTTCTCACAAAACGCTACATGCAATGAAACAATTTACCATTTGAAGATAATAAGCATCTATTTTTTGTCACAAGGCAAAGCATAGAGTGTGGTACATGAAAAGTCTAAAAGATAGGACGTTACTTCTATTCACATGTAAGTGCATTTGCTAATGTATTTTTCTACATATGGTATGAAATTTGTAGTGTATAATTGAACGTTGATTTCTATTTTTAACTAATAACTACTATTAATACGAAGTCCAGTATTTTTATTGTATGTCCAAGGACGCAGGTAATATCAGCAACATTTATAACATGTACTATTTATGGGGGTAGAAAGAAAAAAAAGAATACTTAAAGAATACTTTAAGTAAAAAGTATGGCAGCAAGCAGATACTTTCTTTAGTGTGCAATCTGGTTTATAGATGAATAAGATTACGGACGGTGTGGTGGTGTGAAAGTATGAAGCGAGGGCTAGGGTGTTAAGTATAGGGGCACATTGTGTTCTGTACTGATACGTAGTTCCTGCTCTATACTGAGTCCATTTGGTTGTGTCTCGCAATCCTTCTGCAAAAATACGTATGAAGTTATTAATAATTAGTCGGGAATACATGTGTGCGTTTGTACTGAGGGTCGAGGGGTTAAATGGAAGAGATTTTTTTTTAATGTTAAAAACTTTTACTTTTTATCAATATTTTATCAATAATGTTTATAAGTAATTTATGTAGATGTATATATGCTCACATTAACCGGTTCATAACATAGGTTTACATATATGTATATCGATGGTTAAGGTATGTTTAAGGTCCATTTTGTGCTGTTAGCTTATTAAAATATAACGATTCTTTGGGTATTAGATACATCTAAACACATGCATTAATTAGAATATATCTGGCAGCTTCGTTCACACAAAATAAAAAGTAAATGTAAAATGTAACAAAAAGCAAATACTCTGTTCATATAGCAACAGTGTTCCAGAAGATTTCGATCTTCAATATTCAGTGTTCACGTAAGCAGCTGAGATTTCATGAACTCCTTAAGGAGAAGCAAAAACATTTCAGGGCTCTGTCATGGCGGGTTCCAAGTCGTTTGTGTTTCGTTTTTTATTGTTTTATAATATGCATGTTATCGTATATGCAGATGTGTATGAGTACAAGCTGTAGGCTCGAGGCGGGTATATAAAGTGGACGGTGGCAGCGGGGGGTCAGTCGAGAGGTGTCGCCGGCGTGACAATGTTGCCGTTGAAGCCTGTGATAGCCGTTCTGGCTTTCGTAACCGTCGCTACAGCAGCGAAGCTTGAAACCCTAGGTAGGTTGCACCTGGTTCCACAGGCACGTCGAATAGCCAGAAGAAATATGGCATTTCTGGAATGATTACACTGGTCATTCCTTTATTTACGAAAAGGATTTACGACATTATCGATATCACAGGATACATGCGAGACTGACCGCATTGTTTGCTCTGTTCTGCATCTCGGGCTCGTCGCTCGCGGGACAGGACGCACGTCATCAACCCGAGTTTAATGCTATATTTATAACGCCTGTACTGTTGCTACTTCAGTTTATACTGCATGATTGCATCGGCGAAAAGTCAAAGCTGAACGAAATGTAAGTGAAAACAAAATGAGTGAAGCAAATTTAGAATGAAAAAGATAATTACTTTAAAAAAGCGGTTCCTGCATTTTTGCAAGCCACCTGTGCAATTTCCATGGTTCGGCAAACATGTGTTTTATACCTAATCCAGTGTGGAAAGTGATATTAAATGACGATACCTAAATCTTAAAGTTCCTATTATAAGGAAGAGTGTTCGTGCAACTAATAGACGAACACTATTGAGGAACTGAGGCGTCTTGACTGCCGCTCACACCAACGTCGAATACTTCATTCGTGTGTGCAAGGCAGATCAAGGTTTAAAACAGAACTAAGTTTTAAAAGAAGAATTCCACAGAAATTATTCAAAATTCACGTCTTCAGTGTTTCCTTTGCCAGTGTTGCAGTCCTGCAATAATTGCCTTCATGTATATTTAAACTATGCACGTGGGCAGCCTAGTCATCAATGAAATGTAGATTATCTTTCACAACCAAAATTGTCAATAGCATACACGTAAGAAATAACAAGTTCATGAACTTTAGTGTATGACTAATAAACCTCAGTGCAATTTGAGTTCAACATCACAAAGTAATACCCTACGCTATCAGTTACTGTATCATTTTCCGACATTGGATACATTTTGTAATAAGCGCCCTTCCTACAGTCGTGATTGACGTCACGTAAATTAATGTGAATGATTTTAGCAACAGGAATAAGTCTGAACGTTTGGCTGGGTGGACTTGATAAATACATTCAGAAGAAAGTGCATTTGTGTGTATGTGTGCTGTATATCTAAAAAATATACTTAGTATTTATATATATTCATTCATTTACATATTCATATTTGCATGTATTTATATAGAATCACCAAGGATAAACTCACTCACTCTTCCTGTCTGTCTGTTTCTCTCTCTCTCTCTCTCACACACAAATATATATATGTATGTGTGTGTGTGTGTATATCTATATCTATATATCTATATATATCTATATCTATATCTATATATATATATATATATATATATATATATATATATATATATATATATATATATATATATATAATGGATAAGTAGTTAGCTTTTGAGGTCATTTTTGTGCCGTCGTGGTTTACTGGCCGAACTCTGTTTCAGATAATGCTTCCCTGAGAGCCATCGACAGCGAGGAGGTGGCGCCGGGCTACCAAGCAAACCAAGTGCCCGTGCAAGGCGACTGGCAGGAGGAGGAAGAGGACGACGACCTGTATGACTATGACTACGAGGATTACCAGGACGACGGTAATTCCGAGGAGTACCCAACCCCCCCGGATGGCGATTCGGACGCCGACGAGTACGAGGACTACGGCGAGGAAGAATTCGATGAGCAGGAACAAGACGACAGCGACGGTGGCGTTCTCAAGCGCCAGAAGAGGAAGTTGATCTACGGCGGCGGGGCCTACGGCAGGCGCGGAGGCTCTCGCGGAGGTTCTCCCTACGGACGTCGCCGCAGCAACCAGAATTACCATGGCCCCGACTACGGCCCAGGCGGCGGCGGTCCCAGCGGTGGATACTACGGAAGGCGTAGCTCGCCCATGGCCGCCCCTCCCAGCCGTCCGACCACGGTAGCCACGGTGGCCAAACCGACCGCTGCCCCGAAGAAGAAGAGCGCAAGTAAGGTCCAGCCAACGTACAAAAGCAAGACAGGTCGCCGGGAGACGAAGAAGAAGCTCTCAAAGGAACTGAAGACGGGAATCGCGAAGTACGCGATCCAGAACGGGAACGGAAGAGCCGCTGAACACTACCGCGACATCATCGGCAGGAAACTGAGCGAGAAGACGATAGAAAAATTCGTGAAGAGGCATCAGAAGAAACTCAAGAAGAACCAAAAGGGAGATCAATAGAGGAAGGCTTTGGAAAAGCATTTTCATGCTGCACCTCGCCTTCCTGGAAAGGAAAGCAAACGAGGGATCAGTTTTGCGAAGCCTTTGTCTTACGTTTCTGAGTAATTTGCAATATTTGCAAAACGATACCTCCCATAACTGTAGTACCTGTATTTCAACCTTAGTATATCAACATTGTTATACCTCATACGTCGGCCGACAGATGTCGTCTTGAGTCAATACTACGCCCTGCAGACTTCGCTTTCTGCTCCTTGAGTCTGTTCCCCTCGAAGCCATGGCGATCTGGAGTTCCCTCTGCTTAATTTTCAAAACTTACTTCAACAGCAGGCGACTTGTATGTTGAAGTTAAAAGATATGTGGTCTGGAAATTGCTTGCAGATCGTTTCTAAATTTCACTGTATGGAAAAAATCCAGCAGAACACTTCTCTCGTCGTCGCTAAAATTGTTTAAATATATCCTTCTTATGAGATGTAAAATGCATGACTATACTGCTGTATTTGTATTGTATGAATCAAATTGTAACGCAATAGTTTGAATGGGTTTTAGACAGTAACTCACCTTTCTGGTTGAACGATAATCAAACAAAACTCACAGATCAGTTATTCATTAAATTCATTTCTCATTAATTCATATGCAAGTACTATTTACTTTATTTTTCATACTGTGTCATCTTTGTCTATACTATGTCTTGTTTTATAGGAAATGCACCGCCTGCTTTGTCTTTTTGTAAGCTATGTATGTATTTTACCTGAGTATGTCTCTCTGTGTGTTTATATTCATACGACTTGCCAGCAGTTTCTAAAGTTGGCTGTTCAGTTATACAGAGTCACTGTATTTTATCAAATAGTCGAAGCTAAACTGCGTTTTAATGAAATCATACCCTGTGCATAAATTGCGCACTTCCTTTTGTAATACCATCGTCGTTTCACAGTTAACACATATTGATGCTCTTTTGTCCATCTGAAGTGCCAGTTCCCTGCGGGATCGACTTCACTTTATTGGGAATTCAAGCAGAATTGATAATTATGTATTCATATACACCCGCGTACACACACACACACACACACACACACACACACACACACACACACACACACACACACACACACACACACACACACACACACACACACATACACACACACACACACATATATATACACACACACACATACACACACACACACACACACGCTCACACCTTTAGATACATACATTTGCCGATTTTATTAGAGCTTTAGAAAAATAAAGTGTTCAGCAGTAACAATTTTATTTTCAGGAATAAATCTTTCTTCTCTAGGAGAATAAAAAATTGTACAAGATTCATATTAGATATTCCCATGCATACCGTAAACATTCGTAATAATCTAAAAAGAGATCTACAGGCTGAATCCATGTACACAGAAGCAGAATGTAGGTAGATTATCACTGACACAAATACAAGTAAATCAACGCCTGGTACTCGTGAGAAAA